TATGGGGTGCATTGTCCGCCGCGGTGCGCAACGACACGCACTTTTCCTCCGAATGCGGTTCACCGACCGTTCGGTCTCGCCCGAACGATAACCGGACTCGGCGGAAAGGAGAGGGTTAACTGCCTGCGGTCGCGTGACGAGGTAAGATTAGAGGCGCGGTTTGCGTTTCGAAGTTAAGCCGACCCGGTTGCACTCGCTTCGGAGTTAAACCGCCCGCATTTCGCTCGCCCTTATTTAGCGAGGCGCTCCGCGTTCCGGTGCACTCTACCTTTTTCCACCCGGCGGTGTATTTTTGCGGACTCGCGTTTTCGCAAACCCCGGCTGCTGCGACCGCGGCGGCAACGTTTCGACACGTTCGCGTGAAGAGTAAAGAGCGGTTGCGGAGCATGCGAGCATACATTTGCATATATATATACATATATATACATCGGCGACACACGTGCCGTGCGCGCAGATCTGCGTGCGATCAATTTTCAGGTACGCTGTACCGTGACACTTTTAATTTATCAGTTTAATTAACGGTATTTATGGCCGCGCTCGTCAATTACTATGGAATCGGCGTCGCGGCGCCGCGCGTTCTCCTTCGCGTGCACGTCTGTCTCACCGAAAATCGCAACAGCTGTGTGCGCGTTTGTGTGTATGTGTGTGTGATACCACATTTGAGTTTATATATATATATATATATATATACGCGTATGAGGGAAAAACCGATAATGAAAATGGCTCCGTGCGATGAAAGTCGCAAATGAATTCCGATTTAAATGTTCTCAAATATTAAATAGGATTTCCCTCTCTTGCGGATCAATGGAATAGCCCAACGACTCTATTTGATATTTATTAGGGGAGAGTGGCCGAATGCGTACCACTTAAGGTATTATTTATTATACATCCCATTGGACACTGATTCGTAGGCATACAACCGTTGGAAATTGTAGTTTGATGTTTCAGGCATCTATTATTACATGTCTAATATAAAAATCGCTGTGCGATATTACAACACGTGAATTCACTGACGACAATGATCCCGTCTAAGGGGGAAAAAAGCCTGTGTATGTCCGTTTGTAACGGTGCGCAGAACAGGATGGAATAAATACGGTATACGGATTCACGCGATAATTCAAGCGGCCACCACCAGCTGTGCTAGGTCCTTAGAAATAACGGCGTTCACACTGTAATTGACTAATATTAATGCTGTAACTTGATGTTTGGTTATTTATTTATTCCCCACTTCTTCCGATGTTTTTGATCTAGGCGTTTCACCTTTCTTACATTTGCGACAGTCAATCCTCAGCCTTTGTAGGCTACATACCTTTAACGTTTACCGCAAAAATTGTATAATTATGACTCATTTCCTCCGGACTTTTATTATATATTTGTACTATATCTCGTTTTTCGATTTTTGATGGTATATTTTAGTTACTGCTTGAAAAGGACTAAAACCCATGGTCGAAACGTTGCGCTGTATGATTTGAATATATTAAACACGTGCCGGATAAGGTCGACCAAAATTTATTTACTGTTATTACTAAATGTTGCTTATATTAAGTAATAATATGAAATATTGATGAGGTACGCATCAGGTGACTAGTGCGCATTCGGCAACTCTCCCCTATTTGATATATGTATATTATTTTGGAATAGTTATTCTTAATTTGATTGTGTGCGCTGTTTTGAGAGCTGATTGGTATCTCTTTTAATTAATGTGCAATAAATGGGTAAAAAGAGAGAAAGGGGGGGCGCGTGGAAAGAATGTTTAAATTTACATAAAACAAGTGCGAAGTACCGTAGAATTATATACAGCGGGAGTAAGAAACATAAACAAGACTTGTATTTCTGCGCCGCGTCGTTCCGTTTTGTTTGCATCTCGAATTTTTCTAATGAATTCGGAATAACAATGCCTCACGAACTGCAATCGCGGAATTAATGAATGTTTATCTCGCCGGTTGCGCCATAAGTAGAACGAAGAAATAACCCTCTTCTAGATTCTACCAGAACTTTTGCGCCACCACCAACACACACGTACATACGCGCGCGCGTACACACAGAGCGAAACAGCATGAAAGAATAAAGTGACTCGACGGCGCTCTGTTAAATTGGGAATGGAGGATGGTCGGCACGCAGCCGAAAGGTCGGGCGGAACACGAATTTAATCAATTTCCGGCCGCAGCGACGCAGCGGGCACGGGCGCAGCGATTTTAATTTATCAGTTTAATTAATGGGCACCTGGCGTACACAGAGTTGCCAATTAAAACAGAATCAATGTCATCGGGTCCCGTAGGTTCTTCCTTCGCATAGCCGTCGCCGCGCCGCGAATATACAGTAAAGGCGGCGCGCTTGCATATTACGGAATCCGCAGACAAGCGGTAGAATCCGATAAAGTGGCTCGAGTATAGCGGGGTGTACGCATAGACTGGGCATTGTGGCTACTGAAGTGTACAAACTTTAGAAAGAGACAACATACTTGGAACCATAGCTCTCTGTCTATCAATATCGTAATGGCGTAGTCTATTCTTACTATGTCTATGGGTGTAGGCATACAGTGCCGAGCGAGCGTCGAACGAGCGACTCAGTGGCGTAACTACCACCCGGGAAGCCCTGGCACGGTCTGGGGGCCCCAGCTTGGAAGGGCCCCCTAAATATCCTGGACTGTTACGGTCGAAAGAATTGGCAAACCTATTGATAGTTGAAAATTTTGCATTTTCGGCGAGTTTTCCCGATGTTGGTACAGTTCTAATGCTATTTCTAACTATACCTGTGACTGTTGCAACTGCTGAACGATCTTTCTCAAAATTAAAATTAATAAAAAATTATGTACGGAGCGTCATGAATCAAGATCGTTTAAGCGCTTTAAGCATTCTTTCTATTAAACATGAAGAAGCAAACTATTTGAGAAATAATCTCCACAGTATTATCAACGTATTTGCAGATAAAAAGGTCCGAAAAATTAAATTTTAAGTGCGATTCGGAAATTAATGAATTTAGTAGATAATCTAATGATATTTTTTAAATGATTTTTTGTTCATCTTTTAATCTTGCCTTAGGTGGCTGGATCAACGGTCGTCTTAGTACAGTAGGGAATTTACTAATAAGCCCTACTAATAAAAAGTTAAAATAAAAAACAAAAAATATAAAAAATATAAAATACAAAAAAATATAAAAACGCAAAATTGCAAAAAAAAATAAAAAAACATAACATAACTTTGCCATTGACGGTCCCAAGCCCGTATAAGAAAAAAGGAGGGGGTTTTGTGTGAGCCATAGATTACTTACAGATAGCAGGATCAATGACAAATCTTGACTTAATCTTTTGTTCTATCCGTTTTTGTTATCAAAATAGGGGTTTCATTCCCATTTGAAAATTTCAAGTTGACCTTGGAATGATCCCTAAAGTTGACCCCTATATAAAGGGCCCTATTCAATTTTTGCCCGGGGGCCCCCAACATTGTAGTTACGCCACTGGAGCGACTGCTGCACCTTGGAACGAGAAACGCTCCGACATTTCGAGGGGGTCGAAAATGCGCGCGTGTACGACGGACAGCTCGCGTCCGCGCACGAATTTCGGGAAATGTTAATAATCTATAGAGGGATATAGGTCAAGAGTTACGGGGGACGATGAAACGACGGGGGTGCGGGATACGACCACGCGCGAATTACTCACGTCAACGTCGTACGTTCGTCGTACGTGTGCGAGCGTACGAGAACGAGTTGAGGCTGCTTGCTGTTAACGCATCTGACGATAATTAATCCCGCGCGCACGCAAACGTCCCCGAGAGATGCGCCTTGCGTATCGCAATTTTCAAATGGAAAAATTACCTTGCGATCTCTTCGCTCAGCGGCTTTCGCTTCCGCGTTAAAAGCGCATGTGACCGATTTAATATTAATTGGACGTGATGCAACGTTATCGTTACAATCGGAAAATATCGATGTTTAAAATTTGAAGGTAATAATCTTTCCAAGGGAGATTCCAAAGTCGCCTTCCATTGATATTTTATATGAGGGATTTATATTTATCTTTTCTAAGACACATATGTACGTACAGGGTGTCCCAATTTAATGTCCCACTCCCAAACAACTTGTCTGAAACATTTTTTCTGCGATCAAAAATAAAAAGTTATTTGGGGTGGGACATTAAATTGGGACACTCTGTATATACAGAAATATGCTGCTGCAATAGTGCTTTAATTTTTGAACATTTTTGTGTATCGTTACATACACAAAAATTTTCAATAATTGGAGCACTATTGCAACAGCATATTCCTGAGACTAGATCAAGTAAAACAGTTCTGTACTACTTTTCCCTCCGACAAACAGTTATCGAGATATCATAAGCTAAATATTGAAATATCTATCAATTTTTTCTTGAATATCTGAAAAAGTATTACACAACTCGAATAATGTTTCAGACAAAAGTTGTTCATATTAATTAGTAGAATAAGATAGTATAATAAACAATAGGATGCTCCATTTAAAAAATTTAAGGTGACCTTCAAGCAACTATTCAAAGTAAAATTCATCACCACCTTATGTCCCCCTCTAGACCGTACAACTTTTATTTTAAAAACGTCACTATGTTCTTGACCATACCTGGCCAGCCACGGGTCGTCATGCAATTTTCTACATCGGTTGATTACCTTTTATTTATTACGCGAAAAGGAGAACAACTTCGATATATCCGTGAAACGAAATTTCGCGTCGTGCACGACTCGCGTAAACATATAAAAAATGTAAATGATTTAAAACGCCGGTGTGATCAAACATAGGTACAAAACGATCAATATTTGTTAATATCCGTGTAGCGGATGTGGTGTACTGTAATGCAAGCTTTCACGTTATGAGCGCATAGAGACGAGAAGGAGGTCGGTTTAAAAGGAAAACTGCGTGCGCGGCCGCTGTTTTATCGCAAGAAATTTCTGTTATTCACATTTATTAGCAGACTCGCTCTCGCGGACTCGTGCCAGTATAAAGCAAGCTTCCCAAATGCGGCGTGCAGTGTGTCTTACCTTCTCTATTATGCACACGAGATTTATGATAGATCCTACGTCGACGTGATGCTCGTCGCTTCCTAATATAAACGCCTCTGGTATCACTATATTTAGATTGACGAAGTGTGACAGTATCCCTGCACTTCTCGAGACCTGGAACATACAAAATTACAGCAACTGTGAGTCGTTTTGCACAAAAATTCCAATGTGATGATAATACTATGAAAAAGAAGATTTTTTTAAAAAGAATCAGATTACACAGTTTTTCAAATTTAATGAGATTTGTCCAACATCTGTAGAGGATAAATGTACGGTCTAAAATAATTCTAGAGATCTAGCAATTTTAGATCTTATATTTATTCCATTAAAAAATATTGGACAAATTTCATTGAATTTACCATCCTTATTCTGAGAAAAATTGGAAAGAATCTGTAATCTGTTTTCTAATGTTTTTTTTATAGTAAACCTATTTATTTGTTCAGCTTCTATACGGGACAAATGTTTGATCTAAAATAATTGTAGCTCTTACATTTATCCCACTTAAAAATTCCACGTAAAAATTCAATTTTTATCATCTTTTTATGAAAAAGATTAGAAGGAATCTGTAATCTAATACTTTGTACGTAAAATCTAAAATAAAACTTGAGAATGGAGGAAGAAGCGCGATATATTCGAGTTTTCTAATATTTCCCTAATTTATTTTATTTTAATTTCGTAGCGGATGGTAATATACATACAGTAATATATGTAGTTATGCAGCACACGCAGTTGGACCAAAATAAATCACAAAGATAAAACGAAAATATTTCCACTGAAATATCGGATAGTCTCAGCGTAGTAGCTAGCTCGAAAGCCCCCACAACAAATATAAGACTATTTTCGTTTAAATTATTGACTGAAATATTTTGATATTTTTCAGCAAATTGTGATGAACGGATTAATTAGTGCTCATCAAAAAGCTTTGTTAACAGTCATATTCATGTGTTTATTATAAATTAACGTAAGAGACTTATTGTTCGTTTTAATTTTTGAAAAGCAAACACTTTAGATAACTTAAATTGTCATGATTTAAAGATATTTCGCATACTTTTGGTCAGAACGTATATATCAAAATATGCAAGCGCACAATACAAAAGTTGAGTGAGCATTAATTCAACGGGTTTCGAGTACATGGAAATCGGCTTATCAACTTTGTCCGAAAATGTGTTGTAACTCGAAATACCAGGTTTTTCAGTGCAGTCCTTTAAATATTTCAACGTAAAACTGAGTGCTTCTCTAGCAGTTTCAACCTTTTTCAGTAAAAAAATCTTAAAATAGATGAATAAAGAATATTGTACATATATAGAAATATATATAAAAGTTATGTAATTTTAATTGAATAAGAATTTAATATACTGTGTTCATTAATAATTATCAGTTTTCGGCAATTCTGATTATCTTTCTGAGTATCTTTCCGATTACGTTGACTTACATTTAGTGACATTTAATTACACAAAGGTGTCTGTGAACACACATTACAAGTATATTGTATTACTTGAGGAAACAGGGATGTCACTAGTTTTACGAGGAAAGACATACAGATATAATGTACGTATATTATCAAATTTTTTTCAGTACTGTTATTTTATGCTTTAATAAGAATGCTTTGTCAAAGAACTTAACGATTCGATTTTTATATTTTTTGGGAGCGATGCAATACTTTTGAGTAGTATTATATCATTTCAATGTTACAACCAACGGTGATGAAAAAAGATTAAAAAGAAAGAGAATATCGTATCGATCTTTCCAAAAGTCTTTTTAACATCCACAGGAAAGGCAGAAAAGAATTATCTCACGAAACGTGACTGAAATTCTAATTGAAACGTTAATGTCGCGTTGCGAAGATTCTATTCTCAAATTTTACTTCTACCTTACACGAAGACTATGTGAAAAGTTCTCGAAATGAAATTAGAAGAACAGTTCACGTCTTTGTATAATTATTTTTATTTTTCCATCTCCCTTTATATCAACGTGAGCCTCCATTTATACTAACGAAGGCCATTATCCCATTACGAAGTTCCAATTTATCAAGTGATGCAAAAAAAGTCGCAAATCACTTCCTAGCGAGCAATTTCTTCAACCGCGGGAATAGACGGAAGTCCAGACAGAGCTCAATCAGGCGAATAAGGAAGATGAGGCAACAAATCGTACCTGAATTCGTGGGTGCTTAATCACCGAGGGTTCATTTATTTTTCAAGAATCACGCGGACACGTTCGTTCAAAGATCCATGAGAAAATTTGACGAAACGAATTTGAGCTTTACACGCGTAAAGGGTGGAACTTAACGAAAATGGTCCTGGTAGAATTTCTGCGCCGTTGTACGCGGTTTCCTTTGCACTTCATCTTACGGTGATATTCGAAAAACAACGCGGTCTCTTTTTTCAAGAGCATTCGCTTGAAAAACCATTGCTCCATCCCGAGTACCGTGGGGGATGTCGCCGGATATACGTATGTCGTTCTAGCGCGCCGGGATGCTGCAGCGTGCAGCTGCAGCGAACTCCGGCGAGTCTCCGGGAAAGTTTGCCGCAGGACAATGGTCTTCGTAGGTAGGTAGGTAGGTGCACCGTAGGTAGGTACGCCGCGCTCGTAAAAAAGCATTATGCGAGTTTGAGAAGTGTATCGTTCCGCTGCCAACTTGGACGAGCGCCGGTCGCCTCTGACGCGCACCGAACTTTCTTCTTCTTCTTCTTCCTCTTCGCATCTTGCTACGAGCGGCGCGCCGGACTGTGCATCCTTGAAACACATCTCCGCGCATCGTGCGCCCGCACGGTCCGTCGCGGTAAAAATGTCACCGCGAATAAATATACAGTTGGATGCCGGCTGATGGTATTTTTTCTTTTTCTCTCTCTCTCTCTCTTTTTTTCAAACGTTATATACGCGCGCGCCTTCTGGCCGCGTATACATTGCGGTTATGAAACGTCATGAAACGCCTGGCTGCTCTCGCCGTTCTCTCTCCGGTGCTTCTTCTTTCTTCCTCTTTTTTTCGTGTTCTTTTTGTTTTAAAGAGAGGGAGAGAGCGAGAGAGAATCTCGACTCGTACACGCGCGTCCACCATTGTCGCGCGCGGATGTATAATCGCATTAATAAAACGGTATATTCTATATACGGGCGACGTGTCATAATAGCGGCGCAAAGTCTTGCGTGCTTTTGCATGACAAAGGAGGAAATTGACAAGCGCTGATGCTCTTGTTGTCGCGGCAGCGGTGGATGGGTCACTCCCGCGGTACAAAAGAACCGTGGATAGGAGACGAGAGCCAAGTTAATTAAATCCCCCGTACGTTTAACTGTCTTGAAAAATCTGTTATCCGGCAAAGCGGTGTATCTGTCGGCTATAAACCGGACGACGACAAGCAATAACGAGTAATCGTTATCCCCTACGGCTATGGCGGTATGGCAGTATTTTTTAATCGACTGATGTTTCTGCCATTGCGTTTTATTATTTATTCTCAATCCAAGCGCATTTCGTTTCGATTAAAACTAATTCCCGGCTATTCTCGCCGCTTGAAAAACTCCCCTCTCGATCCCGCCAGCGCATTTAAGATTTATAAAAATTAATAAGTGCCTACCTCCCCGAGGATACATCCCTCTTTATTACTATGGAGGCCGTTTCGCATTCGCCCACTCCGAGGACAACCCGTCATTCAGGCAGGGTAACGGTGGGGAATTTGTTTATTTACTAGCGGAGTCTTCAGGGGATGTGGCCACTCTGCATCCATACGATGGTCTACCAAACCATCGAGTGAGATACCACACATTGCTCAGGAGTCGCCCTGCTAGTATACTACTCTTACTTTATTCAGTAAACTAAAGTAGGTAAGCGAGAAAGATTTCGAGTGTGGGCCTGAATAGCTCAGTTGGAAGAGCATTCGCCCAGCAAGTGAAAACGGTACATTCTATATACGGGCGACGTCCCAGGTTCGAATCCCGGTCTAGTCCTAGCCCGTTATTTTCCACGCCGAGAATTAATAAGTGGCGCGTCTTAATGCCTATCTCCCCGAAGATACACCCCTATTTCTTCTTCTTCTTCTCATGCATACCACTAATGAATGTTCGCGACTGCACACCCTCCATCCTTTCCCGGTTTCTTGATGCATGGATCAGATCTTCCACGGTGCTCAGTCCAGTCCAGTGCCTTGTATTGTATTGTATGATAACACACACAAAATTTACATACACAAAAGTTTTCAATAATTGGAGCACTATTGCAACAGCATATTCCTAAGACCAAATCAAGTAAAAAGGTCCTGTACTACTTTTCCCTCCGACAAATGTTAATTCTTTAACCCGTCGCCTCAGTCGCGCTGAAAGTCCAAAAGGTATTTTTATCGATACGATTGTTTAACTATAGACGCATTGACGTTTACGTAAACGAGAGGACCGATGGCGCGGAACGGTCGAGGGTTTGCGCCACGTGAAGTACACAGGGGTGAATTTGCGGCTACCTAAATGGCGATACTACGCTCGCAGTGATATACTCGCTCACTTCGCCGACGAACTCCACAAATACGATCGCAATTGCGAGCGTATCTTGCCCGCCGTCTCTCTCGGTGTCAGACGAGAACCGGTCGATGTATGCATGCATGTATGCATGGAAAATCGTGCGAATTAAAAGTACGCGCGCTCTGATTAATCGGTCGGCACGCGACGCGCGCGTTTCATCCTCCCGCGGTCCTCTCGATCGCGCGAGGGGGCGGGCGGCCGCACATTGCGCCGCGTCGACCGCGCCCGTGCCGTCGCGGGTGACGTTTATTTTCATCGCGCTTGAATAACGGCAGATAAATTTGCGAAGGAAATATTACTGCGCGCGTGCTTTTCTCACGAAATTTTATCTTGCCGCAGCAGAGGGAAGCGCCGCGCGCGCGCCAGGGCTGTGCGAGCGTCGCTATAAATGTTGCGCCATGAATTTCGTCCGCGGAGCGGACGACGAGCTTTTTTGCGCCGGCTTTTCAAGATAAAATCGCGGACCATCTGGCGCGGATATGCGTTTACAATTACCGCCGCGTTGCGAATTGCCTATGTAAATGTCGTTCGTCGCGCTCGCGTTTCGAACCGCGAGTTCCCTCTCTCTCTCTCACTCTTTTTTTTCGTTCGCGATTAATACACGAGCCGCGTAG